TATATATATATATATATATATATATATATATATATATATATATATATATATATATATATATATATATATAGTCACAAATAATTTCACTGATTGATGAAATAAATTATTAATCAAGCTTTGATGTAATTGATTATATACTGATTAATAATCCATCTCATCGATCGATTAAATTATTCGTGACTACATATATGAGAATCGATTAATTTTAATTATAAAGTGGTTGATTATTTCAGTCGAAAAGAATTTTAACTGACTAATGCCCAACACTGGATTCATCTCAGGCACATTCGTCGTCATGCCGTGCATCGATCACTGCGTGCGCGTCGATCTCAGGACAGTATCTTTCGACGTGCCGCCGCAGGAAGTGCTTACCAAAGATTCTGTAACCGTGAGCGTTGACGCGGTCGTCTACTACCGCATCCAGGAGCCCTTGAACGCCGTGATTAAAATCGCAAACTACAGGTACGACGAAACAACGATGTCGCGAGAACTTGTCCGAAATGAGACACGAAAAAAATTATGACAGTGACGCGAACGTGGAGAGATGTCGCGTGAAAAAACACGTTCACACGGAGAAGAAAGATTGAATTAACGTGACAGTGACATGACTAAGTCAGTTTTAGCTGAAGAAAATAGAATTTCTGTCTGTTAAGAACCCCAGAAGCTGGTTTATAAGAAGAAATTCGATTTCCTTCAACCAAAACGCATTTCAGTTCCCTGAACTCGCTTGTCGGTCTCCTGAGAGCGACGAGACACTAATTCTATATTTTCTCAAAACCATAAGCGTTATCATGCGTGAGCGTGTTAATTAGAAGATCTCATACCAAAAACAAACTTATAATATATTGTACTTTCATGATTTAAAAGTCAGTCTTACAGATCAAGCACGAGTTGTTGACAATGTCGAGCATTAATCGATTAATATTTTCTTTGACTAAACAATTGACGAATTAATAATCACGATTAACCAATCGTCCCACATAAAATTACAAGTAATTTCGTCGATCGATCATTTCATCAATCGATGAAATTAATTATGTATGGAACTTTGTACGTGATTGATTATACACTGATTATTAATTAATTTTTATCAATTGATTAAAATATTCGTAATTATATATATATATAACGCTTGATTAATTTTTATTGTTAATTTACTGAATATTTTAGCTAATATTTTTACCACAGGTATATAATCACAAATAATTCAAATAATTAATCCAATTAATCAAAGTTTGACTCGCTTGATTATGTTAATTAATTACTAATTAATAATTAATTTCAACATTCGAGATTAAATTACTAGTGATTACATATATGAGGATTGATTAATTGTCGTTATTGATTTGCCGATTATTGTAATCATTTAATTTGCCGATTATTGTAATTATTTGAGTCGCAAATATAATTACAAATAATTCAAATGATTAGTAAAAAACTAATTATTAATCAAACCTTTATTTGATTAATTATCCACTAATTAATTATTAATTTCATCAGTCAATTAAATTATTCGTGATTATATATATGATGATTGATTAATTTTGATCATTGACTTGCCGATTATTTTAGTCAAGGGAAATTTCAATCGATTTATCTGAATTCTGGCTGTAGAAAATCATATGAGACAAGGAGGATTAATTATGCTATTGTCACTTTAATTCAATGAATTTTTCTCTGTGTGAGATTTTGGATTTTTAATAAAATTACGCACTATCTGTATACGTACGTACGACTGACTATCGATTCGTCGACTTGTCACACTGTCAATTATTTTATTCCACGTCTCAACCATCGATCCTCGCTTCATCCTCGAGTTACGTCTTTCGCTCGAATTTATTTCCGCAGCTGTCCGCGGAAACGTTTTATCCCGCGAGTTTTTCCTTCGGCTACACGTCGCGTCTTCCTCCTCTCGTCGTGGGACCGACACGACATTTAAATACTTGATTGCGCGCGCCTTTTTTCCGGTTTCGCGGCCATCACCGTTCGCTTGCTGTAATCTCCGCTTCTGTTCGCGGCCGTCGGGAGTATCCGAGGCGGTACGACGGTACAATGAAAGTAAGCTGATTGCAGGGACGTTAAGGGTTTTTATGGTCCCGCAACGGCGAACCGCGGCAACGAGCTTTGCGCTACTTACGAACTTCGTTGCAACGGAATGATTCACGGGTTATTATTTCTGCCAGTGCGCGGCTCAAATGAGGCGCACCGTTGAAAGCGCGATGCCGTGTGGAATTAATTGATGCAACGTAATAAACATGATACGCGATGTATTCGTGTATGGCGCAAGGTACTTTCAAAACTCCTCCGAGCGAAATTGCACTCGAAACAAATGAAAATTTACTCGAGGCTATAGCGAATATACCACCACTCGGAGTCACTAAAGAGAATATTTAACTCTTTGAACACGTTATCCTGCTGTCGCGGGATATTTATTCTAGATCTTTGAAACAGGTATAATTTACGGAATTTGAAATATCTTTAGTGTTAACAACACGCATATTGACGTTAGTTCTAACGGTTTATGGGATAATTTGTGGAAAAAGTGACTTGAAAAGAAGAAGACTCTTAAAAATGTAATTTTTTCACCTAGGAAATCAAGTATGCGATGCTGCTCTGGTAGATCAGGGCTCGAAAGGTCAAACTCTTCTTAATTTAACGACCCAACTAGAAACTCATTCTACACTGTAAAGAAAAAAATATCTAAAAAAATTTAAAAAAATTTCATTCGGTTGGTATTTATAATATACATTTATTTAAATTTAAATCCTTTTATTTAAGTAGAATAAAAAATCGCTTTCATGAAAAGCCAAACTTTTAAGAAAATTTTCTAATTTGACGAAAATTTTATATTAATAATTTATATAAATAAATACGTTATTAATAACCATCGAATAAATATTTTTAATTTCTTTAATTTTTTTTTCAATATACTAAATATGCTATTTCAACTTCTTTTTTTTTTTTTAATGTTTACTTGAAATAGAATGCTCTCTTACTAGAAGAAATTTCTCTCAAGAACAAGACGTGTAGATAAAGCACATTCTTCTAATTTTAAAAATATTGCACTTAAAATGTTTCTTTTGGTTTTAAAATTCTTTTGTTTATATATAAAAGGATTATATTAAGAATAAAATTAAATCTTCTTTTTGAAGTGTCTCACTCACTATCACTTCGAATAAAAATATCATCACTTTTCACTCGTTTCGAGTATGATACTTCAGACTTCGTAAAGTTTTCTAAATATTTTTTCTCCTAATGATGATTCTGATTTGGTTGAGTCCAATCTGGTTTGTATAATAATGATGTTATCTGGTCCTAACAATCATTAATAATCCTTATCAATAAGATTCCGAGTATCAGACTGTTATTATCACATGAGTTATCGGGTCCCGATATCAGCATCCATACAAGACAGATCGTTGATTAAGATCAACCTGATGAGGACCATGGCAAATGGTAAATTTTTAGTCGGGGAATGTTTCAATCGACTAGAATAAATTCATTGCTGTGAGACTATGCGAGGAGAGTATCTTAGGTTTCCTCTTTAACTTAGAAGATATTTCCTCTTTAACTTAGAAATGTTCACTGGACGATGGAGAGCGAAAGATACACTTTGGGTGAAAAGTCCCTGGTATTCGAGTGACTCGTTCGTCGCTCGGGTCCCGTGGAGTTTCGCTCGGAGGAGTCCAGAGAGCACGACGTGAAGTAGCGCAACACGTGAAAGCCAGTAACAATTGGCGCGGAAACGGTGTGGCCTCCTAATGTTTCCCCATTGCGCTTTCAGACACTCTCATATTTGACCGTTATCTGTCATCACGCGGTAATAAAGGCGTTAACACGCGCGTTAGCTCGTCAGCGACAAGAGCCCGCGCGCGCGCATGTTACGACACCGTAATAGCGCTTTCACACAGTGACGTCGTGGGGGTCGTCGCGCGTAGCTGGTACTTCTGGTCCGTTAAAAATCACGAGAAATGGTCGACAGCGTGTCGACGTCCGGCGTCCGTTCCGTGGGGGTTTAATAGCGCTACCCAGCGCCGGCTCGTTCATGGTTCGCCGCCCCGGCGAGTCAGCCCGTGCGCGTCACCCTCTTCACTTACTTTTCCAGCCATTCGACGCGGTTACTGGCCGCGAGTACGCTGCGAACGGTCCTTGGCACGAGGAATCTCGCCGAGATCCTGTCGGAGCGAGAGACCATTTCCCACACTATGCAGACCGCCCTGGACGAGGCAACGGATCCTTGGGGAGTCAAAGTCGAGCGGGTCGAGATGTGAATATTTTACCTCGATATTTTAGCGCGTCGCGCTTGCGAGAGCGGTGCGGCTGTTATATTTTCACTGTCCCCCCCGCATCCCTCGTTGCAACTTACCCATTTCAGTAATTAATTTGTTGATTACTTAGACTAACGGGAGAGAAGAAGAGAGAGAAAGAGTGAGAAACACAGAAATCGAGATGCGTCGTTTTGAACGCGTATGTATGTATATATGTATGTATGTATGTGTAAAGAAAATATTTGTTTCCACTGAGAGAAGCAGATTCACACTGTGATTTTTTAAAATATATTTTATGAGATAGTGGTTTTTCTTTCTCGCTCTCTCTATCAAATTTTGCAGTAGAGCGTGTGATCACGGAATGTATCCCAGTGATTATCTATTATTGAGCTGAAGTGCCTGAAGTCTTGAAAAGTTTTACCGGTCGTATGAAAATTTGAAGGGGTCGTTTGAGAGTACAAACGTACGAGCGATCTGAAATAGGAAACGATAGATAAGTGGGCAGATGAATTCAAATTAAGCGCTTTGGGCAAATTGATCAAGAAAATTGGGCAAGAAAAAAGTGATTGATCCAACTAAAGTTATAATTATTTTCAGCTCTATTCAACTATATTCTTTCCAATAAAATAGTAGCAGTAACATGCATATTAAGCTATTATCACCAACACTACAATAAAATTTAATAAAAAAAATATTTTTCTTGTAATAATTTATAATAATTATTTTTCTATGTGTGATTATAGTCTATAGTAAATAGTAAAACATTTTTTTCGTGATTATGATCTATACCCTAACAGCACAAATATCCAGGAGACGTCCAGAGTACGTTCTGAGAACGTTCTGGACGTTTCTACGTCCTCAGAACATCTGTGGGACGTTCCCAGGAGATTTTGTGCTGTATGGATAGTAAGTACTAACTTTTTTTTTGGCGGTGCATGTTTTCCTCTTTGAGAATAGACTAAAACGTCCTGTAGCCGGCACTCTGCCAATTTTCGGCGCTCTTGTGTGGATATTATTAGAAACTAACTTAAACTACTCGGCGTTGCCCGGGTTATCACAAAGTATCAAGAGGACGAGATCAGAGGCAGAGGGTAGGGTGTCCAGGTTTCATAATTGCCTATATTTCCCGGTTGTAGAGCGTAACTATGCAAAATTTGGTTCAAATCGGTCAAAGGGTTTGGAAGTTTATATTTAGAAGTTAATATGTATTTATATAAGAAAATATATTTAGAAGTTAATAGGAAATACACAAACAGATATTTTATCTTATATATATATATATAGATTAATGTGTATAGTGATTAAAAAAAAAATTGATAATTAGAAAATTTCCACATGCATTAATATTTGATAAAACTCACGCAAGAGTGCCGAAAAATAGCAGAGTGCTAATGGACGTTTCAACCCGCACAGGTGATTGAGCTCATTAGACGAAGATAGCCTTCTGCAGGGAGGAGACCGCGAAGCTCAATCTTAAACGCGTCACACGTCAAGCAGTCAAGAGTCCGTAGAGAAGTGGATTCATGTAATTATCATCGAAGTAAAGTGAACGTAGCGCGCGTGCGCGCGACAGTGACCCAATAAAAGTAATGCGCTAACGAAAATATATCTCGGCCGGCGGGGGTGGAAAGAGAAGGAGGAGGAAGAGAGAAAAAAGAAGTACGTGCGCGCGTGGCGCGATTTAAAATTTAAATGTCCGCCGAATCCGCGTTCGCGCGCAAAACAGGTCGATGACCGTTCGTTCGTTCACTCGCTCGCTCGTTGATTCGTTCATTTGTCCGCTCGCCACGCGACCGGTAAAATTTCGCAGTCGAGTAGAATGAATCGATACGCTCACATATACACCGACGGAGAGTTATTAAGGAATAATTAGATTACTGCGATATATTACGAAGCAGGCGCGCGCACGTAACGACATGGCAATGTATTACTACTTCGATATTAACTCTTTGCGTTCGTATGTCATGGCGCGATGAACTCGCCGCGGACACTTAATAGCGACGGCACGTGTATACGGATCACCGTGTACACGGAGAGTAGTGATTACAATGTGTATAAATAACATTTATCGAATTTCTATAACGTGTATAGTCCGGTGGAAATTAATTACCACGTATCGGACAGGCCTTGATAACGTTAGAGTAAGAATGTTTCATTAAAAAGGGACCGTTTTATTAAATTTTGAAGCGGAAGTGCGAAATGTTCGATATCAGATTTTTAAGATTATTTTGCGAATTCGCAAGCGCACTTGACAATTTACGCGGTTTAACATTAGAACTATCAAATTAAACAAAATGACGACTTCGTATATGATATCTTATGAAAAATATCGTAGAATAATCAAGAAGATATCAAGAAGATTCGAATTTATCAAGAAGATTCGATTATTCTTAAATTCTGTTTATTTTATTTAGCAAAAGATCGAACGGCAACGGCCGAAAAAAATACATTTTTCGTTACGAACGCAAGATTTTAAAAACTTAGAGATATCTGCATAACAAAAATAATGACAATCACAACATCTAACGTTCGCGACACACACAATAACAAAAAGTTTATTTTTGAAAACGAACATTATTTTATTAAATGAAAAAAATTGAAGTATCGATCATATTTTACTAAAATAAAAGTTGGATTTTCGATTAATCGCGTTTTATCTTGCTAAGAAAAAATAATTTTAGTTTTAAATCTTAAAATTTCTTTCGTCGTTTAATGTCGTTGCGTTTCTTTTCTGCCATGTATTATATTTGCGTAACGATACTTACGTAACAATAACGATAATAATATTGTTAAAAATTATAATGGACCTACTGTGGGCCTATTCTGCAACTTCCTAACTCTAATGTTACTATACTGTAAAAACTGTGTGAAATGTGTTAAATTTAACATTTCATGTGTCCCAAATCATCCACTCATTTATGTGTAAACTTAACACAAAACAAATGTATTAAAAAGTAACACGCATAATATGAAAAAAATTAACACAAGAATTTAACACTTGAATACCGTTAGGAATCATAAGTTGTATTAAATTGACATATTTAATATGTCAGACATAGATTATGTCAATTTAACATTATCATTTTATCAAAACCAGATTAATACTTCAAAAAGATTAATACTTCTCTCAAATGTTAAAGTAACGTTTTATTTTAGTTAATTTAACATTATACATATATCACTTTAACACAAACTGTGACTCCTGATGGTATTCAAGTGTAAATTCTTGTGTTAATTTTTTACATATTATGCGTATTACTTTTTATCACATTTGTTTTGTGTTAAATTTACACATAAATGAGAGTGATTGATTTGGGACACATGAAATGTTAAATTTAACACATCAGTGTAGCATGATGTATCGTGCATTTTTTCTACCATATATTATACCTGTGTAACGACAATTTAACTATAACGATAAAAGTTATAAGATAACGTTATTAAAAGTTACAGAATAGGCCTATTGGCATTTAAATCTTATAATTAAGATCCTTTTAAGTTTATGTTAAGAGGATGCTGAAGTTGATGATAAACTTGGACAATGTCGATAACGCAGAGACGATCAACACAATCACGCTATCCTTTTCATATTTTTTGTACATACAGAACTTATGTGTTGCTTTGTTTTATCATATTCAGCAAAAAATCTAAAACCACACATCTAAAATATCTAAAAATCTAAAAGCCATGTCCAAAAATCTTTCTGCAAACTTTTCTGATATTCTTAAGCTTCTGAATTCAGATGTGAAGGTACAGCAATGTTCTTTAAAATTTTTCTGTTTTGAGTATTCACACTTTCGGTATGCAAAAGCTGTGGAACTTTCGGATCAGACAAATATTACGCTGACAGTTTTTATATTAAAATTTTTTTCGTTTCCCTTACATATTGAGCAATGCTCCTATTTATTTCTGTACGTAAAATTCGTAAAAGCATTTGTAATTCTGTGCAACCAATACAAGCTTTGCAGAAAATATGAGTATTCTGTAAGTAAAGTTTTCAGCTTCAGCATCCCCTTAAGACACTGTACTGATTATCTTTTTAGCTACGAAACTTTTGAAGATGAAATAATGGCGGTCTTAAACTTTTGAAATCTTAAACATGTATAAAATTTAACTAGATCAACTTTTCAAACGTCACCGTTTCTAAAGACATATGTTTTGTTTTTTATTATAACTTTTTTCAACTCTTGAGTTGTGAAAACATTAATAGATTCGTATTCCTCGAAGTTTTCTATACCGATTAAAAGAAAAACAGGATTTTGAATTTTGATCAATTTCCCGAAAGTTACAAGCAAATGAAAATGCTAGGTAAAATTTACCCATGTTTAAGTTTTACGTAATTTTTTGTGTTTATGGTTCTAGGGTTAAATATAAAGTCAAACTGTAAAAACGCTGTCCATGGACAAGCGCAAACAGGAAAATCAGTTTGCCAATGTTGAAAGAAAAAAATCGATTAATCAAACGAAAATATAATGGACTGAAAACATGGAACGACTGAAAAAGGAAACTATCGGTTATTTCGATTAAACGACAAACATCGCCCATCCCTATCGCAGACTAGTGTTTACTATTTCAAAACGTAACTGCGAACACGTTTCAGACGATCCCTAACAGTTTCGAGGCCGCTCGCATGCCCATCCATGAACTCGCGTTCCCCGCAGCTGCCCACGTCCGCGTCCGAAACGGATATCTAACGGATGCCTCTGCTTCAGAAAGGATGTCCGACTTCCGGTGCAGCTCCAACGAGCCATGGCCACGGAGGCGGAAGCTGCGAGGGAGGCGAGGGCCAAAGTGATTGCGGCGGAAGGAGAAATGCGAGCTTCCCATTCCCTGAAAGAGGCCGGCGACGTCATTTCCACGAGTCCCGTCGCCCTGCAGGTACGCGCGCCTGCTCGCGTTTCGTATCTCGTCTCCCCGCCCTCCCTCTTTCTCTCTCTCTCCCTGCCTGCCTGCCTGCCTCCCTCACTCCCCATCCCGTTTCTCCGTCATCCGGCACGACACGATGCTAATTATCGAGTCATATACGCTGCTGTACGATACACATTCGCGCGTGTTACACTTCGTTGTTCTCTTCGCCTCCTTTGCTTTCTTCCGTCCTCCACCCAGCTCTGTTTTAATTTGAGCTTTAATTTGATAACCGCGCGACAATCGCTCTCGTTTCACGAAATTATATTATATTAATAATTGTATAATATTAATAATTTATAATCGAGTATTCATCACAGTTACTCTGTATTTGTCGTTGAACAATCGCGCCGATTCGCGATCACGGGAGGGTCACGTTTAATTCACTTAATTAACAAGCGCCACCTCCATAGAACGTTTTTTTTTTTTTTTTCAAAAGAGTTTCCCAGAGAATCATTGCCTCAATGTACGTACGCTGTACAAAAGGGAAGGGATGGAAGGGACAAACGTGCGAAACGCGAAGCTTTATTTGGCTATTTGCTGTGTATTTATTAACAACACACGGCATTCTCCGTGTGCACTTGTGACTCCAATTAAACGGGAACTGTTGGTCGCATGTGGGCGCGAGTGTAATAATTGAAAGATAATAGGAGGCAAAAAGTTGCGTCACATTTGGAATTCTTGTGTGTGCCGACAGCTGCGATACCTGCAAACCCTAAACAATGTGTGCGGCGAGAGGAACTCGACGATCATATTCCCGTTGCCGATTGAATTCCTGGCGCCTCCGCTCGCCCCCACCTCGCACGGCGGCAATCAGGAAACTGCGCGGTCCACGCTCTCATAGGGGCGAAGGGTAAACATTAAAAATTGCGATCACGGTTTCACGACTGATTCGTGTAAACTGAGGCGATCGCAGCTGCGATTGCACGACGCGCGCGCGGGCGCGAGAAAGGGACGCATGATATGTTGCTTCTGCTATGATTGAACGATACAACAGGGGAAGGGAATAGAAAGAGAGAAAGAGAAAGAAAGAAATATATATAAAATAAAGATTGAATAACAAGCCCGTTGTTATTTCGTTAAAATTTGTACCAATCATTTCTGTACACATACACAATTGTCCCCGCAACCGTCATGTTACACGCTTTACATTTGGAAAGCTTCAATTAAAAAGTTAATTTTATGTAAATTAAAATTGTATACCGATAAATTGCTGTTGCCTTGTTTTTAGAGTGAAATGGTAGATACTGATTTCACACGGACGGTCATAAATCAATACTAAAAATCCTTCAAATTGCGGTGAAATCATGAAAGGTGCGAGAAACAATGAGACTGTTTAGTCTTTGCTTTAGCGTGGTCAAACGAGGGACTTATTGATTGCAGGATTGACTTTGGCGCGCTGTTAAGACTAGTCGACAGATCACTTTATATTGTCATATTTGATCCAATAAAGGATGGCACCGAAATGATTATAGATGATAAAGATAAAGATTTGGTCAAACTCGCGCTATCTCTACATTAGGCCACATACTTTTAAAACGATATCTATCCCTCTGATGTGACGTGTATCTATCCCTCTGATTAGTAATTTTAAATCCCGATTCACAAAACTGACAGTCGTTCGATTCCAATATTATTTCTCTTTTTCTTTTTAAAAATTCAACGACATGTCGCAGTATCTCCAGCTTTCCCTGTGGAATTGAATGGCTGTATGACACACTGTGTTTCTACTTTTTCATCCTATTTTTAATTAATTTTTTATTTAATAATAATTTTTGTCCCATACAAATCTCTTTTTTCCAATTTTATGTAGAAAAGTAACCAACAGAAACAATTTTTAAATTAACATCCTCAACTATTCGTCACGGCAATTTCTAACAAATTCAATTCGATTCTACTATTATTTGAGTGAACAAATGTGAGAAATGTCGACTCGACACGTCAAGACAAACATCGTATACTGCAAACCGGAAAAATTACTCCCACATAATATACTTACGACCCGTCCCGATGATCGCACATCGCTGTTTTAGACACTCCCGATACTTATTTTTGCACGAGACTTAACTTACGATACAACAAACGTGTAAGAACGTGTTTTCTGGTAAATATTGATTAATATAAGAAACGCGAGTAGTTAGAAACGAATGTGCTAGTCGAAATATTCAGTCAATCATCGATCTATCGAACAGATCAAACCATCACGTGAATCGATTTATCGAATGGTAAGGCAGTTGCGGAACTGACCGACCGAGGGCGTTGTTGTAGCAGCGCGACACGATCGCGCGCATTTTCGGCGTACGTCATCCATTTTGCGGTTGTGTTCGATCTTCTCGCGTCGGGCAACCGCCGAAAGTGAGTCTCCTGCAGAAATGAGTGTCGGGAGCGTCGAAACTAGCGATGTGCGATCGTCAGGAGATATCCTGAGTATCTTATTAACCTATTAAGGCCCAAGAGAAAACCGCTAAGGATAGGCTTTCAAAAACTATCTAAATTAGGGTAAAACGTCGAAATTTGTTAAAAAGTGAAAAAAAAAGTTGTGTTGGATTTCAACATTCAAGATGACGGACCAATATGTCGGCCCGAAAATTTGAAATTTTGACCTATTTAAGTGAAAATCCGTATAGGGGGGGTTTTGAGTTCGCTGAGTATCAACATCTCTCCACAATTTACGCGTCTGTTGTCTGTCACAGGTGAGTCTCGTATGGAAATGAGTGCCAGAAGTGCTGAAAGTAACAATGTGCGTTCGTCAGGAGATATCGTGAGTGTACTTTATTAATGAATAATCTCCTCGTTTTTCGATGCATACCATCGGTGCTTGTCGCGACGTGCCGAGTCGGTGTCTTTCACACTTGTTATTATCACTTCACTCAAGTGGCAGTAAAATCGAATCGATCAATCCGATCGTCGGATTGATAAATCGGAAATTAGAAATGCAGTGGTAATTAGAGGGAAAGACAAACGGCAGTAGAGCAGAATATTGCAACTTTTCTCTTACGCATAGAAAAATACATGTTGTATTTAAGTGAATGTTATTTATTTCAAGTACTTCATACACTGTAAAATATTTGTGTAAAATTACATCTATTATAGTGGGTTGTTTTGAGGTCAATTATTATAGATGTAAATTTACATACGTAATTATCGCATAAAAATATATTTATATAGACGAAAGACACATCTTGATACGTGTATGAATTTACAACTATAATATTTGGTCTCATAATTACATGGAATTTTACACAAATTTTTTACAATTTAAATTTATATATTCGCAAATAAGCAAATCATAAGTTCATCATAAGCATTAGTTCAAAATACATTCTGAATCCTGGTAGGTTTAACATCAAGAATGTGAAATTAGGACAAATATTCGTCGTTTTGTTACCACATATAGTCGAACTAACTTATTTTTCGATAAAGTTTTATGATATATTTATGAAGATGAATTCTTTTGAATACATGACAATAAGAGAGAGAGAGAGAGAGAGAGAGAGAGAGAGAGAGAGAGAGAGAGAGTGTGCGTGCGTGTGTGTGTGTGTGAGAGAGAGCGAGAGAGAGAGAGAGAAAGAGAGAGCTTTTGCCAAATTTGTAATGAGTGCACGGAATTTTATAATAAAGATTACTATAGGATTTTATAACCGAGGAATAGATCGACATTCTACAATAATTCATTATTATTCCATTCCATATGTGCTATTTATATTTCAAGAACTAAAATGTCTTGTTAAAACATTTGCCATATTTCCAGTGAAATTTCCTATGTTTCTTAACAAAATAGATCTTACACAGTCATAATAGATCTTAACAGTCTGTTTCTCTGAACCACTAAAAATATAATAAAATTAAAAATAATTTAAATGAATGCAAACTATAATATCCTTCCCGCGCACAACTTAAGACAATCGTCAAGAAAATATTCTTTGTTGAGGGTAACCATTACTTGAAAGAAAGAAAGTAAGTAAGTAAGTAAACGGAGCAATCGCTTTTCCTCGCAGTAGAATGCTTTTCTCTCTGTGTACCGCTAATTAGATCCTCCCCTACAATGCTTCCTCCCAGACATTCTTGTGCCGATGTCTAAAATTCCCAAGATGAAGTACCGTTCATATACAAACAAGCGACCCGAATCGGACGGTAAACGCGTATACCGCTAAGCCCGCGCTGCGAACACAGCCGTTTGTCTTTGGAACAAACGCAAGACCTCGCAGTTTGTCCTCTAATTCCGCGCACCGGAGGACACTCGACCGTCCTACTCTCTTGGACGTTCAACGTGGAGCAAATACAGCCACGTGAAGCTGAAACGCGCGCGTCAGCCTACGGCGTTCCCTCACCTATTACGTTCGTTTTTCCGGTAGCTACCGCTTGCACTTGACAATTTACCAATTAAAGACGAATTAATTACGCGGACGTTACTCCTGATCTGATCCCGCGCCGGCGCTGGGCCGCGTCCGATGGAAATTCGATAAACACGTGTCCCGATAAGATCGCTTTCAAAGCTCGCGTTTATTTAACCCCGCGCTAATCTCTCCACCCTCTCTCTCTCTCTCTCTCTCTCCTCCTTGCCTTTCTCTCTAAATCTCTATTTCTCTCTCTCTCTCCCCTCTCCCTCCCTTTCTCTCTCTCCTCCTTTCTTGCACGTGCAAACGATCCCGCGCCGAATATCGTGCCGGATATTTTCCCACGTCGGGAAATACTCCGGCTGTAGGGCGCGAACGGAGTTTACGATCGTCGCCATCGTGATTTGCATACGATCCTTCTGCCCGGGGTCCGCGTCGTTCTCTCGTTCTGGCGTCTGGCGTCACTAAATACCGTGGAATTCGCTTAAACGCGTTCGCTGTACTCGCTGTTTTATTATCCCGTTACCACGAACGTCGGGCGCGCCGCGTGCACGCGGCGCTCTGTGGTTTTTACCTCGCTTGAGTGCGCGAGCTTTTATAAGAATGTTGCGTTCCGTCGCGCTCCACCGTGGGCTATATTTTTAGTGGGATCCAATTAAACTCGGGAAAAGCGCTTGCAATAATAATCGTTGCGCCGCCGTTGTCGTTGAATATCGTGGTTCGATAACACCACACATAACGCGATGCAAACAGTAATATCAAAGAAAAAGAGAGAGCACAGGGAGTATTTTTTACTGAAATGTCGTTTTTGTTCATTTTCATATCAGAAACTGATATTTTTCCATTCATTTTCGCGTAAACAGAACATCTTTCAAATCGATTTCTTACTGAGAATAGATCAAATAACGAAAATCGAATATTCTCGATCTGTTTTATTACATTTGATGTCGATTAGAAAATATTCTGTAATATGCACCTAATTTTTAAAGCTCTGATATAAATGGGTTTAATAAGATCCAAGCAATCGTATTTAAGTAAGATTAGAGTTTTTCAAAAGTTAGGAAACGTATTTTCATACAAAAAAGTATAATCTATCCTTAGTGGAATCCTCTTTTGTGGCCTTAAGAGGATCCTTCTAAAATTAAAATTAGAATATTCTAAGCATAATTTTCTCAAAATTGGAAGAATTTTGTTTTCCATCTACCGTATAAGTTATATTCTTAATAGACATTTCTTCTAAGGACCATCGCACTCAAAATGGCGTAGCTGCATGGCATAAAACTATATCGACCAAGGAGCATTCTTTGCAAATGAATATTACAACTTTTTCCTAGATGCTCATTGGTTGAGATGGTCTCATGCCATGCATGATGCAGCTATGCCATTTGGTGTGCAATGGCCCTAAGAGAACGTTATATCAAAACGTGTTGGTTCGTTCATTACGGCCAAAATTCACGTTAACACAAGCAAACCAGCTTTTCCATGCGGTACCTCTCGGGACGATCCGAGAGAGAAAATGGCTCTTCAGCTTTTCAAAAATTGAAGGAATTTCGAAAAATTAAAGCTATCGCTCGATTGCAATTTTGCCATGCTATTTCCTGAGTACCCGCTGTGTGTATGTGTGCGTGTGCGCGCGCGCGCGCATGGTGGTTTTACTCGCTCGAGTGCGCAGACTTTTTCAAGAATCGTCGTTCGGGACGTGATCCAGCGACGTTTACTTCCCCGGGAGAACCGAGCGATGTCAACCTTTATTTTCTCCCTCTTGTGCTCGTCCCTTTTACTTTTTTAAGTCACACAGAGGAGCGTATAAATTCGAAGGGCACGGCGACGAGGCGAAATCGACGGGCGTCGCTGTGATCTTTTTTGCTCGTCGTGAGCGCGCGCGCGGCGGGAAGCTCTCAGCGAGCGCGGTTTTTCCCGACGTGCATTCGATTACTCTCATAAAGGGGAACGCCATTATTCGCCAAACGTATAAAATTCGATTGCAAGGAATGGAGAAGCGCCCGCAACAGCGAAGGTTAATATCTCTTCCTTGGAGTTGTTCGTCTCGCGCGCGTACGCTACGTTATATCTTGAATTATTAAAATGAAAGCACGCACGCGCGCGCGCTGTCATTTCCCCTTGAAAGATCTCCCCGCGTCTGAAACAAACGGACGACGATATGTCGTCTCGCAAACCGGATTGAGAGAGAGAGAGAGAGAGAGAGAGAGAGGGAGAAAGAGAGAGAGATTAATCGTCGTTCATTTCTCCGCGACCGGTCGCGCAATTTTGCGCGCGGCGTACACTTCATAAATCCCCGGCGCGTTCCATAATTTCCAAAACGTTCCGATGCGCGTTCCCATTTAATCGCGATAAATAATACACGGCCCGCGGAAGCGATTCCGACACATTATCCACCGTATATGTGTGTGCGTATACACAGAAACGCTAATCGCGCGCGGCGCGGAAACGTAGGGCTGGAGAGCCCCCGCATTATGCTAACGATATTCGGCGAAACGAATGGCCAGTCTATGCAAAAAGGCAACGATGTCGTATATTAAAGAAATCCTCTCGCCCTTCGCGTTCGACCCTTCGCGCATACCCGTGCGAGAGCCGAGGAGAACGTCGAGAGAGGGCGGATTTCTCTCACCCACACCTCTCACCCCCTAGACACTCCCCTACCGACTGTCTCTACCCATACCCCTCCTCCTTCAGCCCGGAGAGTCGCGTTCCATGGGAGGACGAGTATTCAACAGACGCGATAACTTTGTTCCTAGTCCTTGCTCCGACCTGCCCCACGCAAACCAACCCCCGGCGATGCGCCGACATGTTTTTGCCGTCGGTACCCGGGCACGGGAAATACCAACCAATTAAAAGAACAATGGAGCCTGCAAATACCATTGTCGTGCGCTGCCCGCCCGAGCGTGCTCATAAAGCGCACTTTTTTGTGTACATCTCGGCCTTTTCCTCGAGGTGATAATCACCCAGGGCGGGACGCTGTGAGGAAGGGCAGAGGGTGACACGAGAACAGGTCTCATCTTGCACTACGGTCTCTCCAGCACTTGCTTTCTCCTCGCTATTATTAACGCAGTTTTGTAAAAATTGACCCTTCAATAAGCGAGCTTTATTCTTCAGGCGCTTGGTCTCTGTCACTGTAGATCTGTCAAGATACATATTTTTTGTTGAGAATGTAGATATAATATAAACAATAGATTATGTGTATTATAAAAACGATATATCTTTGTGATATGCGAGATGAGTCACCTGACACATTAAATTCTGAAATGTCTCTGTTGGCTTTTATCTTAGACGAAAGTGTTTATGAGCAAGTTGTGGTTGGAAGGGTTGACAGATCATAACATTTATCACTTCCAAACACACAATTCGTCTCCTACACATGTTCCTCTGATATACGACGAAAATATATTGTAGTAAAAATTGCTTTAAAATTATATTCCTCTTTTACAGTTTTTTATAAAGCTGAACGGAGAAAAATAATTTGCTGGTCCAGCAAATTTTCTACTGATCTAGCAAAATCTTTTCGTTATTATATGGACAGCAAAAAGATTTGCTGAGAGTACTAATCACTATTTGTTGGATATAATTTGCTGAATCTACAAATTATTTTGCTGTAAGAACCATGATGGATTTATATAAGCAATTGCAGTTTTGCTCCGATAGCAAATAAATTTGCTAAGGATACATTATTTTGCATTGATAGCAAATTAACGTGATTCTTAGGACAAATACATTCAACAAATTTTTTCTATCCTGGCAACAAAACTACTTCTGCTAACGAGTAATTTGTAAAATTAGCTACGTCAACTAAATTTTTTTGTTGTCACTACGAATATGTAATAGCAACGACGATTTTGCTAAAAAAGCAAAATTATTTTTCTCCGTGTATGTTAAAATTTTGATATAAATTACACAGATTGTAGAAATAATATAAATTTGACGATCTACTGAATATATACGACATAAAAAAATAGCAAAAAGCAAAATGTGCATAATTTTCAAACAGATATGCAGTAATTTCAGTCATAATTTTGTCTAGTCCAAGATTATAAAAATTCTGTTGCACTTTTTACTATTATACAATATCTTCTTTATACACAGAATTAAGCACCCATCTAACGTTAGATTCTAAAGTCTCTCTATTATTTTTTAGATTATTATTTTCACATTTTATATTATATTTTCTTTATTTTAGAGAAATCTTATTCGATTTTTTATATCAGAGGAAAATGTGTAAGGAGTGAATTATGTAGTTGGCTATCTACAACTTTTATAACCAACTTCCAACCATAAATTCATTTAACCAGGAGAAATGCATTTCTTACGCATTTTTTTCTAATATGAAAGACAACAGAGACATCAGAGATATTAGAATCTAGCGTTACACTATCAATTCAATCTGTGCAGTCTCCAAATTACATCCATATACATGTCTAATGAAGGGTTCAATCAAGAGTTACAGCATCTATTGTAGATCAGATTTAAAGAACCGTTTACAATGAGAGTAAAGTTTCGTTGGTAAGAAGTAAGAGTAAGAAATTGACCAATCACAATCGAAGGTAAGAAGAATAATCGAATATGATTGGTCAATTTCTTACTCTTACTTCTTACAACCACACTTTACTCCCATTATAGACCGTTCTTAAAAGACTTTCTACAACAAGCAGTAAGAATAAGCTACAATGAGTT